GAGATTTTAAAAAAAAATCTAACCACTGGGCTTAGTCAGTTTTTGCTCTTGACAAATGTTGCATTGATTTTGTTACAAATAGTTACTGTATGGTGAGTCCTGGGACTCATCTTGTGAAAAAGCATGATCCTCACTGCATAACCAATGAGTCCCAGTTTAAAAAACATCGAGTCCTAAATTGGAAATGCTTGGGCCTTTATGTAACCAGACAGTTAGTCTGAATACAGCTGACTCCAAAACTCTTCAGTGCAGTTTAAACGGAAATTAAAATATAGCCCTTCTATTTAATTAAAGCATAAAAATGACTCAGATAAATATGCATCATTCATTAGACAACAGCCACAATCACTGCCACAGAAATCACATGAACAGGACATTCTACAAAAACATCTTCAGATCAATCAATCGATCTTTGTGTTCTACGGGATGCATGCCATGACTTATTTTGCATCTTTGGGGTTTTTTATATATCAGAGATGCAGGACGCAGGGGTAACAAAATCACTGATGTGAAGCATATATGAAATAATTCATTTCTGAACTGCAGTTGTAGATGAAAGTGAAGAATGATCATCGCAGTAAATTTTCCAATTTAAGCAATTGGAAAGAAGAAGCCTCAATGTGTGTGGCTTCATAGCTCAGTTGGTAGAGCAATGCACCGGTAACGGGGAGGTCACGGGTTCGAATCCCGTTGAAGCCCTGATTTTTTTCAGGCTTCTTCTTTCCAATTGCTTAAATTGGAAAATTTACTCGATGATCATTCTTCACTTTCAAAATCACTGATGTTGGTGATGAAAATAGTAAAATAGTGCATAACATGTATGTTAATTGTGCAGGTTAGGAAATATATTTTGACTAATGTGTTCTCTTGCTGGACTGTAGGACTGCATTTGGCAGACTTACTGGGTGGACTTGTGCGGATCAACACTCAGACTATATAAGGTGAGATACAAAATATTTTTAACAAAACACTCAAATGCCTATAAACTAAGATAAGCAGACAGCTATATACTTCTTGACACTATATTGAAAGGTTATTTGAATTCTTCACTTAAAAAAATCATTATTTTAAGCAGGCAGGCTGGAATGGAGCTTGGCTGACTATTTTCCTGTGGTTTCAGTTTTCAAGCTTTCAAATTATCAATTATGTCTAGAGTACAGAGACGAGGGTTTTGGGTTTTGTTATTGATGTTGCATTCATGTTGCTCTCTTCAATATGTGTGTACATGTACCTGTCAAAGAGATAGGGTAGGATAGGGTGTGGCAGGGGTAACTAATATTGGGCTTGTGGTTCCTATTATGATGTGTAGCTTTCTATAAATAACAGTTAGAGGAAAGAGAAAGGGCGGGGCAACCAGGTGACTGATATGGGCTTTTGGGCTCTAATATGATGTGTAGCTTTCTATCAATACATGTAACTTGTACACTGTATCGGCAAAGAGAAAGGGTGGGGAAGCTAAATGACTGGTATTGGCTTGTGGGCTCTATGATGGTGCGTTAAAACTTGCTATAAACTAGTAATAGTTGACACTACAGCTGCCCCCACTCTGTATGTTGTCAGTCAATAGTGTTCTTGCTCATTGTGTAGCTCTTTGAAATATACTGCAGCGTGCAAAGAAAGTAGTGTCCAATAGCCCAGGGCAAGTGGATTTTGCTATTGGGCTAGTGAATTCTGTTCTTAACTTGCCCGACGGGCAAGTGATGTTTTTCGAGAAATTCGGATAACAGAACCTGGACTGTGAAATAAATTCTGCTCATCAGAAAGCTTTTGGGGCTAGTTGAAATGAAGTCTGGGCTAGTAAATGCTAGCTTCAGCTTGCCCAGATGGCAAGCTGTAAAAATGATTTTCTTTGCACCCTGATACTGATTCATGATGAAGATTTTCAGAGCAATATTAATTAACTGTTATAGGCTTAGGACTCTATTATGTTGTGTAGTGTTCTATAAATAACATGTAGAGCAAACAGACAGGGTGGGGCAGGCAGGTGACTGGTATGGGCTTTTGGGCTCTAATATGATGTGTAACATAACATAACATAACATAAAACTTTATTTATGCTAGAATTTTAGAGTAGTTAACAAGCTAATATCTTCGAGCTGACACTACATGAAAATAATATAGAAATATATATATATATATATACATTAAATGCGTTATAAGTAATAATAATAAAATGATATTAATAATAATAAACACATAAAAAAAGAAAAGAAAATATTGTTTACAATTCACAATTTTAAGTTTAAGTATGTATGTATAGCTTTCTATAAATAACATTTAGAGCAAAGAGAAAGGGCGGGGCAGCCAGGTGACTGGTATTGGCTTTTGGGCTCTAATATGATGTGTAGCTTTCTACAAGGGAATGAAGTACAATGAGAGAGGGTGGGGAAGCTACGGTGTAGGTTACTGATATGGGCTTTTGGGCTCTATCATAATTTGTTGCTTTCTATGAATAACATGTAGAGGTAAGACAGAGGGTGTGGCAGCCAAATGACTTGTATGGGCTTTTGTGCTCAGTTATGATGTGTAGCTTTCTATAAATAATGTGAAGAGCAAAGAGAGAGGGCGGGACAGCCAGATGACTGGTATGGGCTTTTGTGCTCAGTTATGACGTGTAGCTTTCTATAAATAATGTAAAGAGCAAAGAGGGCGGGGCAGCCAGGTGACTGGTATGGGCTTTTGGGCTCTATTATGATGTGTAGCTTTCTGTAAGAAAATGAAGTACAATGAGAGAGGGTGGGGAAACTACAGTGTGATATGGGCTTGTGGGTTCTATCATAATTTGTGGCTTTCTATGAATAACATGCAGAGGTAAGACAGAGGGTGGGGCAGCCAACTGACTGGTATAGGCCTTTGTGCTTAGTTATGACGTGTAGCTTTCTATCAATAATGTGAAGAGCAAAGAGAGAGGGTGGGGCAGCCAAATGACTGGTGTGGGCTTTTGTGCTCAGTTATGACGTGTAGCTTTCTATAAATAATGTGAAGAGCAAAGAGAGAGGGCGGGGCAGCCAGGTGACTGGCATGGGCTTTTGGGCTCTATTATGATGTGTAGCTTTCCATAGATGACATTTAGAACAAAGAGAGATGATTAGTTTTGGAATGGAAATGTTTATTACTATTATTCTCATTTATTTGTTTATTTACATATTTTTGCTTATGTGTATTATTCCACATCCCTGATTGAAAGGAATAATTTTCATTATAGGAAACTAATGTATTGACTCGTTGACTTAATCTTCAACTATTTGATCATAATTACTTTACCAGGATTTATCTCTACCTGCAAATTCATCAGATAAACTGCCCCCTTCACGTCTCACTGGACCAACAAATGAGGTATTGCTCTTAACACAGTCATGCATGACCTAGTATTTATGATCTTTTGGAACAATCTGACAGAAATCTCTAGGATAAAATTAGCAAGGACAAACAGCATCCGCTGTATTCTATCTTACCAACTGTAATGGACTCTTCTCAAAGGCTTCGAAGGAAGACATTTCAGTTATCACTTAGTGCTTTAAGAACTGCTTTGTAAATAGGCTATACTTTACTTATAACTAATAGCAATGTGCTTTTTCTTTAAATTTTTACTTTAAAATTACGATTATTATAATTTTAATTTAACTTTAATTTTTATGACTTTTGTAACTTTCAATATGCATTTTATCGATTGAATTAAGGTATTATTATTATTATCATTGGTGGATCCAGGTGAGGGGGCCCCCCTTAGTTTTAGATCAAACTGAGGCCCAAGGGGCCGAAAAAGTTTTTTTCTTGAGACTGGCCCCCCCTTATCTCAGGGTCTTGATGACTACTCCCCCCCTCCTATCTCAAAGACAGGATCCAGCACTGATTATTATTATTGTGTACTTACTCTTAGGATATAATACTAATGAATAACAGGAACATTTTCATTTTCATTTTCACAGTCTAGCAAATAGGCAACACTCCTTATAATAGAAGGGTTTTCAAGAAAAGGGGCACTTGTAATGACCTAGAAAACAGTCATGACCTAGTAAGCGGCCACAAGCACCCATTTTCTAGGAAACCCTTCAATAACAAATCGTTTATACTGTTGAACCTCCTTGAAGCAGCCACCCTCAGGGTATCAGCAAGTGGCCGGTTAATGGAGATTGGCCACTCAATCGAGGGTCCCCATAAATTAGCATGCATTGTAACATGAGCATATTTTGAAACACCCACGGGACGGGAGCAACTTTGCTGGTCCACAATGGGTCATCACCCTCTATCTTGGACTGTATTTTCGTTCAGCATATTCTTGAAATAAAGCCAAACTAAGTGCATCAAGCCTTTGATGGCGGCTTAATAGAGATTACAACAATGGGAGAACTGTTGTTAGGATGGCCAAAAGGTGGCCGTGGCTCCTTAATAGAGGTTGGCCACTTTAGACAGGAGAAGTCGTTACGTCATGTTGCCATGGTAACAAAATTTTCTGGATGACAACAAACCGAAAACGTCACGTAAAACGCGAATTCGCACAGGTTCAAACTTCATCGATCTTTTTCAGTTTCATTTAATTTGGCAAATGCTGGCGAAATTTTCTAGGGTTGAATCCGAAAGGACTGTATCTAAGTTTAGGAAAGGAAAAATACAGCTTTTGTGTTGTATTCACCTACTCCATGAAGCGAGCGTCTGAAGTTAGGAAGTTTCATGTCGCAGGGGTGCAACGACGGCAGAGAAATGTACCAAATAGCATGATGGACGTGCAAATTTGTTGTTTTGTCAATAAAAAAACCTTTTACTTTTCTGCCGCTCTCCTTCCATAGCCGTCGTCGTTGGTTTTGTTGTCATCCAGAAATAGTGCTACCATGGTGACGTGCCGCCATACTTCTCCTTCCTATAGGTGGCCGCTTAATGGAGGTTTAACTTTATTACTTATTGTGTGCTCAGGAAGATGCGAGTGAATGTCGAATTTATTTAAAACATCACTTTTGGTGCTAAGGTAGTAATGATTGACTATTTGCTTGTGATTTTCCTAGAATGAAAAGAAAGAAGCATTTATCATTTTAAAGAAAGGTGCAGAAGTCACAATGGTGGATGTTGGTTATGAGGTAAAGACGCTATGTACCCATGTGTAAGGCTCGTAGTTATTTGTTTGTTTATTTATTTGTATATATTTTTGATTTATTTTTTTTGAAGGGTTCTCAAAAAATGTTTGCGTAATCAAAGTACGCATGTTGTATGCGTCTTACCTATTAATAATCTGGAAGACAATTCAAGCCAGTTTGCTAACCACGACGTAATTGGATAATTGGATGGGATAATCAGGTTCTTCGTAGTCTAATGGCCTGTTTACATAGATGTGGGGGACCCCAGTTAGGTGAGGTAACTCGCTTAGGTGGGGTAACCTGCCTGTCCATATAATCTCTCATATTAATTTGATCACGTTTACATGATAGGTGGGTGACCCGCCTGGCCGGGGTCGGATTCGTGATACATCAAATTCGCGCAAAATTCACTTTGGCGGTGGCTTTGCATTATTATTAAAGTTAACAATAGAAAGCCATTGCACTGAAGGTTGCAGCAAGAGCAACAAGTGAGTGAAGAAGTGCATTTATCGCCAAAACACGTGGTTTGCCAGCATTTTTCTTGTTTACGTGCTTAGCGACCATTCAATAATCTTGAGAAAGTGCACCCCAGGATGGCGGGGTTGTAAGATTGCATGTAAAGGGGGGTTATTTTTTTTGCCTCACCTAGGAAGGTTACCTCACCTACCTGGGGTCCCCCACCTCCATGTAAACAGGCCCTTAAAGTCAATACTCCTAGGGTGTGTTTACACTATACCGGATAGTAGCTTTTGACCTGCCACGAAAATCACAGCGGATATAGGGCGTCAGGTCACACACAAGAACGGTTGTGGCGGCGCGATTTTTGTGACGGAGCGATGCTGCACCGCGCCGATCTCTAAAATGGAAAGCCACATATCGGATAGGGGTTCACACTCCACAACATACGTTTCAGAGCATGGAAAATCTCGCGCGGAAAAACTGCCCACCGTAGCCCCTCCCCTCAGTATCCGGATACACAGCGTAACATTTACTTCTCATTTGGGGCGGAAAATTTTGGGGTGTATCCGCATAAAAAAAAATTTACGGATACGGGGGCGGGGGACGGGAAAAATGGAAAACCACATATCGGATGGGTCATAGTGTGAACAAAGCCTTACAGACTGTAAAAATGACGTCAAAACGTTGCAGACCTTTGTAGCAGAAACCGCAAGTAGCGCACAAATGTTTTAACTGCGACAGTTGTAAAAGATGTTGACAAAAGAAAATTGTGATCAGTTCGTCTTTAAATTTTGGCATAGTCTCAGAAAATCGCGTGTAAAAGACAGCAAAAGGAAACATTGTGCTATTGACAATGGCTTTTGATCATTGAGCACGTGAGGGTTACACGTGCGTGTCGCTATTGACAGAACGTTATTCACTCGTCGTACTCGTGAGACTCGGGCCCATGCAAGGCATGAGAGTTTTTTAAATATTCAAGAAGGCTAACAGTCTGTGACGCACATCACGGTCAATCACACTTAGTGTTGCAGGGGTTTATGTTACTGGTTATTGATAGAAAACAAATCTTTATAACAGCCGTGTGTTTTTATAGACAAAAAAAAAATTCCGTGTTCAAAGTTTTGTAGAGTTTTTACTGCAGGAAGCACACTAGAAATATTTCTGGAATGGTATTGTGTTGCAGGGAGAAAGCCAATTACGCGAGAGAAAACTAAACCGCAAGCAGCAACGGTAATTAGTTTGCGATTTTGGTTTGTTCGCGTGCCCAGATCTTTGTTGTGATTGGTCACAACAAGACCGCGGCAAAACGTCTACGCATGCGCCGGGTTGAGCATTTCCGGTCACTTTTCAGTCACGCTTTCCTGTCAAAGTCTCCCACGCTTACTTCGTGAGTGTAGCCTGCATTTTGTTGGTCTGCTTCATGTTGTCATTTGGTTGTTTTGAAACTGCTTTTATGGATGACCAGGAAAAAATTAGTCGCTTAGATTCAGAAAAGGTATAATACATTGTCTAATTTTGGCTAATTTCAGGAGTTTTTATCACAACACGTACACACAAATTATTCCTGAGATATTTTAGTTGTTCGCGGTTTTCAGTAGTCTGCTACACAGCCGTTCTTTGGGTCGTCACGCAACGCTCCTTCCTTCCGTGAGGAAACAGAAAACGGCTTCTTAGCAGACTTGGTTTTCAGAGTTTGACAGTTATTTTCATTGCCTTCTCTGAACTTAAATGAAAACGTTACTAACTGCTGGTTCGACACTCACATTTTTTTCAGCCTCGCAAGTGCAGGAAAAGATTAACTGTAAATAGAAGACATGTATTTAAACTGTCCTTTTCCGCCAAGGGATCATCAAATTCTCCATGTTACCTCTTTCAAGCACCTTCCAAAGGCGCCATGTATAGATGGTAGGTCTCTAACACAAACTTACTACAATACAGGATCTTTCACGTCCGGAAAGTTTTACGTCAAAAGCTCTAGACTAGAAATACAAAACAAAACATTCAAAAGAGTTCTTCGTAAATTGCTTTTTGATATCTTAGATGAAGATAATTATAATGAAATCCCCGTGGTTATTAAAAAGTTAGTCTATGTAAATAGATATACTTGTTAAATTTTTAATTTTTGCTTTTCCTTTCATTGTTATTTATCTTCACGAGTGACTCCTTGTCTTAGTGCATTGTTAAATAATTAATTGAGTACGTGAGTAAGTACTGAGTAGTTAAGTAAATCACTGAACTTCTTTGTTTTTTTTTATTATTATTTATTTTAAGTTGCAATCTGCAAGGCTTTGTAAAGTGTAGGGTTTTTTGATGTTAGTAGATATGGTACTGACGTAATTGTCTTGCCCCACCACGACTAGCTTTCAAGTTATTTGAGGGGCAAGCTATTTAACTGTTGTTGTTGTTGTTGTAACGTCGTCTAGGAGTGAAGACTACCCAGAAAATGAAAAACAGAGTAGAGAAGCGAAAATAACTATGGGGTAGGGGGTGGGTTGGTGTTGTTGGAGTTGGCGAGAAAGCGAAAAATCAAAGTCAAGCTTAATGTATTCTCTCACCATCAAAGATGGAAAGCGAGCTACATGTTATTTTAACAATATTCTTCAGGAAGCAAAGTCCCGCAGCGAAGTTGATATCAGCTTATTACATTTTTATGCATTTGTTTCGATAGGATGAGCAAAATTGAAGAGGGCATTGATATAGCAGACAAACCACAGGTGTGTGACACAACGTGAGCTAGTTATACACTTATAACTGGTCAGCGTCAATTTATGAACGTAAACTACGTAAGAGTCAATTCTGACCACCAATTTTTACCCCTGAGTAAAAACCTTGCCGATTTTTAGTAGAAAATACTCAATCTTTCCTCATTATACTATCTCATCAAGCATTCGACTTATCGTTCTAATAAGATAAAATTGTTAGTTAGGAAGATAACAACCGGGAAATCTAAAAGTTAGTCGCCATCAGGTGTTCAGGATTCGTAAGTTGTTTAGCTTGATCAAGGCGTTCAGATAATGTAGCCTGAGTCGCAGACATTGAGTTCTATGTCTGGGTCTTGAGTGACAAGTCCGGCTGCCACGCAGGCTAACTTAATGTGGACGGTGCAAAGTAAAGTGAGCAGGAAAAAAAACACCGAGGGGGTGGGGCTAGGGGAAAGAGGGTGAGGTCTGTCACCGTTACTTGATTGACAACGTTCAAGAACAAAAAATATTTCAAACCCTAGCAGAGTTCTATCTAGGATTTATCGTTTGGGGGAGAAGTCCTGAGTGTCCAAAGGCGAGAAGCTTCCAAGGGGGGTCTCCTGGAAATTTTTTGAAATGAAAATGCGCTGAGATGCAATCTGGTGCATTTTGAGACATAATTTTGAGAAATGTTATAGTGTGTGCACTGATCTCGTCACGTCTGGATGATTTTCACGATATAATTACTCATATACTGTAATAATAACAATATTTTGGGGGGGAGAAGCTGGGCATTTTGGGGGGGGGGGAAGCTTCTACCTCTCAAATACCCTAGATAGAACCCTGCCTACGGTCGGATTACAAGCCGACAAAGTGAGCGAAATGAGACTTCAGCTGAAAATAAATTACACAGGTGTACCATCCTCTCTCCCTCTCATTTCCCTTCTTCCGCTGTTTTTCCTCTGCTCTCCATTTTGCGTCATTCGCCACTGTCTAAACGCCTGGAACAGGTTACATATATATAGTGTTGTTCAGTGTTAACTTCTTGAAATGTTATTTGCTATACTGTGTTTACTGCACTTCATGATCAGTTATGTTCACTTTTTCTGTTCTTTTTATTTCATTACTGACTGGACTGACTTGTATTACGGCAGAATGAATCAGCAACAGGTATTTTTTTCACGTCAAATGAAACTTTTTTTAATAGATTGTTATTGTACTATCATAGTTACTTTCGGCTTTCAGTCAGTAAATTTCTTGACAAATGGTGTTTCAATTTTGTACAAAATTGTAACCTTAGAAGTAGGTCGAGGGCGGGGCAGGGGAGGTTAGTTTAAAGCGCAGGGTTATGAACGATAAGTAAGATTTCTGAGGGATAGGGGGTGAGGAGGGATCAGGGAATTCTTGAATTCGATCTTGTATAGGTATTTCACTTCCTGGAAACTCTAGGCCCCAGCACTGGATAATGCAATAAAAGTGCTCCATTGTGTTAGTTTCTTTATTTTGCCTCAGTTGAAAGTAGTTCAACCGTAGATCATGTGGCAATAAATCTTCGAACATTGTGGTCATACTTGTCAGTTCCATTTCATTGCTAGTATCCCTGGGTTATTTTTGTAGTATTAGTAGCGATCGCAGTGATAGGCTAAACTTTGATTTCTTTTCTTTCAAAACTATTGTTAACACTTGTAAACCGCCCTCAGAATGGTAACGTGCCTTTAAGTTCAGTTGATGTTGGCATGTTACTACACCGTAATAACTCAGTAGTAGTAAACGTTGCAGTGAAAGGTAATTAAATAACTTTTAAACTCTATTTTCTCTTAAATAAACTAAAATAACTTAACAAGACAGAGAGTCGGAATTTAACAGTTTGTTGTTATCTAAATTCAAGACTCGATAAGGAGATACTTCATTACATTGAATTATATACACAAAGTGGAAGAGTTTCTGTGTCTGTTAATAATTAATGCTTTGATTCTTGATCTTGTTTTTAGTTGTTTCGGCTTTAACTTCAGCTCTAACCTATTTGAGAGGTTTTTCATTTAGTAAGTTATCAGTTCTTTTACGAATAAAGGTCTCAAAGTCACTCTTTGTGTAATAGAAACCAACCATTATATTTTCAACTGCACTTTTCGCTCAATCCTAATCAGTCTAAGTGTACCCCTAAAGGTTCTTTAAATGACTTGATTATTTGAAACTTATTCCATTGGTCCTTGACGAAGTCTGTCACTGATGTCTGATTCATTTTTGTATTCGTGTATGGGAAGTGACAGTGAATTCACTGCCCTGATCCATCCATGAACGTTTTAGTCTGAAATGCGGGGTGCGCGAAGAGACGGATGATATTTCAGACTATGAAATTTTTTACGAGGTTGATTTTTCTTGAATTTTGGCATACTCGTCTGAAATATAGGTTGAACCGCTTTTTTCTTGAATTTTGGCAATACGCCCTCAATCTAAGCAAAGAAAAATAAATATCAGAGATCCGAGACAAACAAATATGTTTCAAACTGACCAAATATTGAAAAAAGTCGTTTTCAAAAACCCTAATTTCAATCCGTTTCAACCGCTTATCCGTGGCATCTGTTGTTTCTTTTATGCTATTTTAACCTTCCTTTAAATGCGGTTATTTTATGACGGGCATTTTGAATTCTAAGTTAAGCTCCTTTTGCATATAATCGTTCAGTCAATGATATAATCAATGGGGGTATGCTCGCTTGACCGGCTTTGGCTTTAAACTCAAATTGCACAGGTCCACCTTCTAACAAAATATTGGTTCATTTAAACTCTCTGAGTTTGCTCTTTTCTAACCATCTAATTTTCTAGGTGCAGACTTCTGTACCTTAAATCCTCAAATAAGCGCCCAGAGAGCATGGTGTTGGCATAAAAATAATCTTGCAAATAGCCTGCGTAGCTGGCGGAAGTGTATTTGCGCGTGTGAGAGTGCTGGTGGTCAGGCCGCCAAGCGAGCGCTCTCACACGTGAGAAAATTCAAAGAGTCTACCCCCATTCTCCGCACAGCTTCGCAGCTCCTCTGCCAAAACTTTCCTCGCGCGAACGGTCCCGCCGGCTATGCTGTCTATTTTGCAAATGACGAGCCAAAGAGGGTGGGATAAAAACAACGTACTTATTTTCGAGGCGAAGAGATTTTCTCTTTGAGTTTACCCGTGAAATACGATAATTCGGGATTAGAGCTCAAGATACCACGACGGAACCACTGGCTTAAGTAGGGGCCTGGGCGTAATTCGATTACTTGCGCTCAACTTTCGTTGTTTTATTTTTCACCAAGAAAAGAAGTGCGGAGCTATTTTAAGACAGAGAAGTGCTTGTTTCAAATTTACATTTAAGCAAGGGCGATTATTCCAGTGAGAGGCGTTTATTTGACGATGTAGGGTATGTCTAGACCTAATCTAAAGATTTAACAAGTTAGGAAACTAAAAGCACGTAAAATATAAATGATTACCACTAATGGAGCACTTCAATACACACTCCTCAAATATTGTTTTCTTAGATTATACTTAATTATTTTCGTTCTTTAGGATAGTGTAATTCACTTTTATCAGCTTATTTTGGTTTGTAATGACAGAGGTGTAAATGTGTTGGGCATAGAATTATTTTTATTTCTTTGAAGTCAAAACAGACTGGTTTTAAACGTGAGAATTTTCAGTCAGTGTGGACGTGTGCAATTTCATGTAGCATGGCCAGGAAGGGAACAGTCAAGTTGTCATTTTATCGGTGCATTTGAGTAGAAAATGTTTAACAGACAAATGAGAGGAAAACGTGTCAACTTGACCCTTCGTTCTGTAGCGTGGTTGAAGAGCTTTCCGATTCGTGGAATTTATTTTGGATTAGATGGTACAGTCTCCGCTTTACGGACACTCGCCAAATACGCCTCATTATTACGGACAATTTGCTGGGGAAAGACAATTTTTTCTGTAAATTCAACCCGCTTAATACGGACACCCCGTTAATACAGACACTTTCTATACCCCTCTCAGAGTCCGTATTAAAGGGGTGTGACTGTACACATCTGCCCTCCCTTTTGCATCCCTGTCATTACCAAGATGATATTTTGAATCGCTGCATGATTTGTTTCGTAGTTCTGGTGATTGTATTGAAATGATGAATATATGAGTTTCATATATTTGAACTGCGGGATGAAGAAATATATGCAGCGAAGATCATCACCGTTAAATACGCAACTTATGTCAGGGAAGCGCTCTAGGCAACTGTGCTAACAAGCCAACTGGTCATTGAGTTGGTTCGTAAGAGACCCGGGAAAGATGATTGGAGATGAAATGATGAATGGTCGCTTTTATACTAGAGGACGAAATATCCGTCTGGACGAACTTGGGCAAACATTTGTAGTTCGTCTGGTTATGCGTCTCAAGCATAAAGACGGGCACAAGACGTATTGTGCGTTTGGACGAACTTTCCTTCGCAATACGTCTTGAACGACGCACTACGAAAAGTAGTTCGTCTGGACGCATAATGCGTCTTGTGCCCGTCTTTATAGTAAAGACGCATAACCAGACGAACTACAAAATGTTTGATCAAGTTCGTCCAGAGGGATAATGCGTCGTCAGTATAAAAACGGCCAATATATGAATTAAATATATTTGAACTACGGGATGAAGAAATTTCACCCATATCGCAGAGATATGGCAGGGTTCGAATTCCGGCAAGCCTGAAAATTTTCAGGCTTACTTTTCTCAGCGACATAAGTTGCGTATTTAATTGTGTTGATCATCTTCTCTACGTTTATGTGATTGTTCTGTTTTTTGTCCTCCTTTTTTTTTACTTCATGCTTAAGTCATGGCTGTGTTACTATCTCTTTTTCAGACAAGAGACTGAAAGAAGCCAAACTTCTATCCATGGAGCAGCGTAGATACCATGCGGTTCCCGAAATGTAAGTTTTTTACAGGAAGTGAGAACCTATGAGAACACATAATGCGCACCCCTTTCCTTGCCTCCAAAGGTCTGCTTGCAAAGTACTTAAAGTTAAATAAACCGCGTGCACAGTTAGCAAGTTCCCTTTTTGATGCAGCATCGCAACTGGGATTTCACACTGTTTTCACCAGATAGCGTACCACTATTTACTCGCGCACGCGCTTCCGTTTAACGTCTATATGACAACTGCGTACTTAAACGGCTTTATATACAGTAAAGACGGGTCAGTCACGCGCCCGAAAGGCCTGTTTTTATTACACTTTTTGATATTTTGTTACAATATCGTACTATAAGTTAAATTGTACACGACCCGGCTTTGGCTTAATGGTTACATGTAACGTCCGAAATCTCAAAAACAACGGGCAATACAGTGGCTCGAGGCGTGGGTCTTTAATTAGAGACCTTTAGATTCTACGACAAGTACGAGATTTTCTCAATAGTAAGTAGTGCTCGCGTGTGAGGCAGCGTCATTTTGGCCGGAAAACGTAGTAGCCGTCATCATTCTACTACGAGTTTTAGCGAGAATGTCGTTGTGGCGGAAACGAGTTATCAAATGTTAGAAGTTGTAGCATTTTGCAATCGGGAGAGGGCTTAACCTCCTTCAATAACGATAACAGTGCTTACTTTTCTGGTGAATAAAGGTACAATGAAGACTTCCGGGGTGTATATTGTTTTGACAAAACACGAAAAAACTTTAAATCAAATCTCGTACTTGTAGTCGTTCTTGTCGCCGAATCTTAAGGTCTCTAATAACTCAGTTCACGTAAGTCTAGCAGTCAATAGCTGTCTTTCTACTTGGGATTCATCGTCACTGCACAAGGCATTTCTTACAGTGGGAGACAGTTGATATTTCTTCTACCTTAACTGTGGGACGAAATGCTTAACTGCCCCATGATGAGCTTGCTGAAGCCACAGACTGGAGATGAGCAAATGTTCATAGCTGAGTGAAAGCCCATACTTACAAATGATGCTGTTATTGCACCTTTTGTTTGAAAAGTTGCATCATTTTAAGTTTTTCAGTCACACTGAAAATAAAGACCAATTTCGATACACTAAAATTCATACTTGGTTTCGAGACTTGGGAATTAAAACGGGTTACCTTGTATTTCAGGGAAAAGCACTGAATACATTTCCTTTGTTTTTCTGAACCAAGTATGAATAATTATTACGAATTGTAATGTAATGTAATGTAAATTGTAATGTATTGACTATTGAACTTCTTTTCAGGGGTTTTCATTATTCAAGAGATGATGTTGACTCCGGAATGGAAGGTATTTACTACACACAAAGCGAATGTTTGTACATTTAAATTTGGTGAGATCTTAGACAGAGTTGTTAATTTTCCTGCAGGAGACGTGGAAGAAGCTTACGATGCGTCGAAGAAATTTCCAGGAAATCCTCATCTGGACAGTTTGAAGGTCAGGAAACTGTTGTTAACTCAAATTTAGCAGCCTTTTCTTTCGACCTGTTCACTGCTTACAGCCTAAGCACTGACAGAAACGTTATACAAAGTAGAAACGTATGAGTAGCGACACTGGAAAATATTATTGAGTAGATTGTATTTCACTTGGTTGTACTAACCCTGAGCAAAGCATAAACAGCTGACTTGTGAGCACCGAATCTTCAGTCCTATAGCTATCATCCACTTCATCCAGAGTCTGGGTGTGGACTTTCTTGCATTGCTTTGTGGCATTCTTTCTCAATACAGTCGACTCTCTCTTAACGGACACCTGTATAAGACGGACACCTCTTTAAAACGGACACCTATAGTTGGTCCCTGCCTTTCTTTACTCCCTTAATTTGACTCGCTATAAGACGGACAGTGAGTGGCTGTCCCAAAGGTCTCCATTTCAGAGAGTCGACTCTTAAGGTGATGTTACACGGGACGATTCGTAACTACGATTTTTAGCGCAGCACAGCGTTGCAATGTCGGAACAATGTTGTAACTATTCGAATCAATGTCGCAGCAATGTTGCAACACTGTTTTGCGCTAAAAATCGTCGTTGCGAATCGTCTCGCGTATCTTTACTATCCTCAAACATCCTCAAATTGTATTCGTTATAGTATGTATCTCGATTATTTCTGGAAGTGCAATTATTTATTTCATTGTATGTTTACTTGTTAATGGTAGAAACGTCTGCAGGAAATGGAGGACCTTGTAGTACAACTGAAAAAGGAAGAAGAGGCCTTTTTAGGACCAAATGATTCGAAAAGTAAGTTTTTCCTTTAATGCAAAATGCAAACTACTTCGTTTCTTAGTCATGTTAACAGCTGTCAATTGATCTTAAACCGATCGTTCTTTAGTTACTTTCATGCGTCTTTTTGCCAGTATTCCCTCTGCTAGAATCAACGCGCTTTCGAGTTCAAGCGTTTCAGACTTTTTTCAACTCGAAGCGGTTAATCTGTCTGCTGCGTTTCAAGAAAATAGAAATAAAAGCTAGATAGATGTGAGGTCATGGTATGAGCTTCAGATGATGACATTCTGCTTAAAGACGATGTTTCATTTTTTTTTTCTTGTTTTCAGTGATAAAAAGATGCGAGTTTAAGTCAACAACGAGCACAGACTACTTCTTGGTACCAGGTCATCCGCGCTCGTTTATTCCTAAAGGAACTGAACTGACGATACTCGGGCAAATGCCAAACGGTCGCTGGCGATGCTTTGTTGAGCTGCCAAAAAACAAGTTTACGATTCTCACAAATGGAAATCACTGGGAAACATCTTCTGAAGTGGAGAGTATTTCATCGTTTGACATCAGCGAGGAAGGCGCGATTCTTAACTCGAGCTCAAAAACTGAAACTTTTATAGGAAGTGTGCCAAGTAGTCTGCTCGTTGAACTGAGTCTTCCCTCAGTTTCTAAACTGAAATATGAAGACGGGACGCCCATTGCCTCCCCAGGGGACACCCCACAATTATCCCCCTTCCCCTCTCCTCCTCATTCGCCCTATTCCAGGCACAAAAACAACAGAGATTCCTTGCCGAATAATAAGCGAAGTTCTTTACGTCGATCTATCGCGAGTGAAAATCTAAGTGAACAGGACATCTGGGAGCAGTTTTGCATACCCTCCCCTCCCTCGTCGCCTGCTACGTCGCGGTCGACCACTCCGTCGCTCTCGCGCTCAAATTCATCTGGAGCATCATTGGAGAATATTGATTGTGATCATACAACTGAACATGAGAAAAGATATGCGGGCGCAAGTAAGGGAAATGAGCAAATGGAAAACGAAAATGTGGGAAGTGAAGGAATAGGAAACAAAGATTACTCTCAAGTCGCTCTTAGGCGAAGAAAAGAAGACAGTGAAGGAAGAAATACTTTGAATGTGAAAAGTCATAGAGAAGCGATTCTTATGAATGATGATGTGCCAGAAACGTACATTGGTAGTGATTCGGAAGATGATAGGATGGTTACAGTTATAGATGAAGTTCCACCGCATGAGGCTGAAGAAGCTTTGAGAGCGGAGAAAGAAACTGTTAAAATGCGCGTAAAGAAGAACACACCACGGCGTGAGTTTGGTGAGTCAATATCCAGTGTTTCGGAAGAAAATAAGCGCGGGAATGTTCAGATTTCATTCAGTTGTACGTAATGGTTTTATGAGGCTGTGTCGCGGCTGTCAAGCTCGTTTTGTTTTAGACTGCAAAACAGTCGGTTTTTTCTCAAAATCAGTAAAGAAATCGGTAAAGCGTGGCGTAGCTCTTGCGCGCGCGAGCCTCACACGCCCGTAGAACGTGTGAGGCGCGAAAAAAATTTTTAGCGTCTCTCCCCAGTCTCACTCTCTGTTTTCAGTCTCGATCCAGACCTTTTGTTTGACTGCTCGCGCGTACTTGAATACGCAAAAATACGGACTGTTTTGCAGTCTAGTTTTGTTTTAATTGTTACGGAGTTTAAGCAGCGACGTTTTTGAGCAGCACGTCAACCGGAAGTGAGCCTTTTTGTCTTTTTAAATGCCATGACGCTACCATATTTGTATTGCTAAGTGTCTTTACCCTTAGTGACGATTTGCCCTAAAATTTGTTCAAAATCGTGGCTCAAGAGTGTAAAAACTCCACTTCCGGTCGACGTGCGTCGCTTACAAACGTCGCTGCTCAAACTCCCTATTAACCCTATTAAGTCCCAATAGTGGCCAACATCAATTTTCTCCTGACAATATCCAAACAATGTCAAGAGATTAGGTTATGAGAATTAACAAAATGATCACTTAAGGGAAAATGCTTTGATTTTTTATCAAATTCTCTCAATCCATTCATGAAAAAAATGTATAGAGATCAGTTTGGAGAATTTGTATGTGGATATTGGGGCTTAAAGGGTTAATATTATTGCCAGAGACACACCCTTATTCGGAATGGAGTTTAACGTTAGCAAAGAAATTGCCTGCAAATGGCAAGTTCACTTCTTCATGTTAAACACTAGACAGTCTGTCTCCCATGCATTCTATTAAACGTTCAAGACAAAAAGAATGAACTTTGAAAAACCGTTACGCTAACAAGTTTTCAAAAATCCGTTTCAGTCTTCTTCAAGTTTGTCCATCCGTACCTCCTTTGTATTTGCTGTGCTACTTACACCTTTTAAAATGTTTTGAGCCATTATTTTTATGTTTCACTCGAATCAATATAGGTTTCTGAGAGACTGCCCACCTGCCCAGGGGTTTCAATAAAAATTGAAGTAGCCAGTAGGTTTGAAAAAAGTAACCGACTGTATCGAAAAGAGGCTTACTCCCCTTCTTATAGAGGGGTCTGGGGGCGTGCGTCCCAATAAAATTCCGAAATTTCATTGCCCTAAAATGCGATTTCCAGCGTTCTGGCAACTAAAGTGAGTACAAAAGATAATATATTTTTGATCAATTTTGGACCAGTAATGCACTTTATGTCGCAAATTTTTCTTAAATATTTTAAATCTGAATCAAAAATACTGTCTAGGTCCAGCAAATTGAATTTTAATATAAGTTTTGACAGAATCTTTCTTTAATCTAATACTTCCAGCTTCCATTTTAGGGGAAAAAGTAGCCGACTTCTGTGATCAAAGTAGCCGACATGTTTTGTCGGTCGTCGGTGTCTGTTGAAACCCCTGCCTACCCCTCCCCTAAGCCAACATTTTACCGTAAGTGAGAAGTTAGCTTAGGAGAGGGGTAGGTGGGTAGTTTCCCAGAGACCTAAATTGATCCTTTCACTCAATTTGGTAACGTTTCCCACTCTTTGAATTTTGATACATTTCGTGGCAAAGCTCCTTTATGTTCATGACGAGTCTTTTTTTACTCTGAAGATGACTAACGCACGGATTTTCGAAAAGTCAGTTGCTGTTAAAAACAGTCCTATTCAGGACTACGTTCACCTGGACGATCATACTCAACCTACTTATCATATGAAATTACTCCTGGGTTCAAACCTTTCATAACATGCAGATTGTCCTTATTTTACAGACGCTGAGTCACCGGGTGGAGTGCGGCCAAACTATGCTTTTCTGGTGACCAAAAAATTAAGGCAACGAGGAATAAGCTTAATCGTGGGATCGTCAAGTTCAGGTGAGTACACTATGAGGGCGTTTCCCACCCACTCCATTCATTGATTTGATTTGATTCATTTATTCATTTAATTGGTTGACTGTCGCTACAGAAGGAAGGGAGCCAGAATCGCCCTTTATTTTGATGCAGAGTCGGTGGTCTATTGGTAGTGTCAAACAATTCATAGATACCAGTTGTTGGATCGACGGAGCTCCCATCGGTTACATCGTCACCACAATAAGATAGAAAATTAGCTGACGTTTCTATCGTTACGACCGTTTGTTTGAGGAAGGCTTAAGTTAGAAACGATAGAGACGATATAGGGTTTCATTGGGCCTGAAGAGACGAACAAAGAATCTTTGTCTGTATAGGCAATATGATCATAGCACTAGTTTTTTTTCTAATGAGATCGTTCTTATGGGAGCTATGTTGCGTGAATATTGCTGTTCAAGGTCAATTCTGTGCTAAAGTCACTACTGTACTTACTTCTTTACCCATACACAAAATGGGCCTTTAGTGTTATGAAGAAGATATCTGACAAATCTCATCAGGGAGCGAGGGAGCGCTAACCATGATATTTTTGTGGGTGATTTTTGCAGACACATCGCATTAAAACTTGAAGAATGTGGCTCAAATTTTTCAAGTTTCAATCCATGGCCATCCTTTCCATCCCTTGCAACAGGCGACAGAAAATAATTTCAGTGTCTTAATATAGTGTTAAATAACAAAACTGGACCATTATTTTTGCAATTCAATTGATGCGAAGAAACGTGTTAGCTTTTTAGAAATATAGTGCGTAGCAAGTGCGTAATCCCTTGATGCAATCAACCGGCATAACATAACAAGGTGGCCTAACAAGGTTCTTGCCAATAGTTGTAGTACTAGACCGAAAAGAGAAGGGTAAACGCTTTTGATAAAACAATTATATTGATACAGACTAAATGTTTCATTTGAAAAGGGAACTTCGCTTACTGTCTTTGGCCTTTTTTTCTGGTTTCCGTAATTAGCAAAACAGAATATGAAAAAGTTCCACTTGACAGCTAAATCAATAAACGGAGGCCGATCTTGTTATCAAGACGTCATGTTTTGAGTGGCTATATTTAAAGCTGCATTTATTAACCTCCTCCGTCGCTACAATCGTATAAAGTATTTCCGCTTCCAAATTCTGGACTCTCTTGTTTTGAGCAATTCTGTTGCCAAAAACAATAAGCATTTTACATCTCAATTTAAATCCCTCCACTTTTGTACTGAAATTCATCGTAAGGGTAGGCCACTAATATAATTTTAAACTTAATAATTGTCGTAAATAAATTATTTTTATCTAATCCTCACTTGACTTATATTCTGTCCACAGAAGAAGAAGATGACGGTGATACAGGTGAAAGATAATTAATTTACTATTTGCTTAATTGTAAGAAAAACAAGTAGTATAATCCTTCACTCGTCGGACGGCGCTGTTCTTTTTGTCATTTACGTTTTTGATTACATGAATGACAGGGAACCTTCATTTCTGACAATTAAAGTTTGGGTAAAGTAAATTCAGAAAGGCACTACAATCAAACACCGCTTTACGGACACTCGCTTAATACAGTTTGCTTCGTCCTTTCGTCCCTGCTTCGTCTCTAAATTCAGCCCGATTAATAAGGACACTTTCTACGGCCCCATCAGTTTCCGTATAAACGGAGTTTGACCCTACTGTGACTTGTTCCATGTTGTCACTTGTTGTGTTGAGTAGTACACACTTCGAACAAACCTTGCGTTACGTGGTCGCTTACAAGAGGTTTAAAAACAGCTAGAAAACCTTCATCGCCCAAAAGTAGTCGCGGTTGCTACTTAAGGCGGTAGCCAACTATAGGGCTTCGACTGGGAAAATCTTGTTGCTCACGGGAGGTGGTCGCACGTGGAGTTCGGAAGTAGTTTTAACTATTAGTTTCTTGCTAACAACAACTTTTGGTCAAATTATGAGGGGGCTTTGACTGGGAAAACTTTGGTGTTTACGAGAGATGGTAGCACATGGTGTTCAGAAGTAGTTACTAATACTTAGTTGATAACAATAACCCTTTGTCGAGTTATATTTGTTGTTATCGTTGTTGTTGTTGTTGTAAAGTGTCCCAGTTGGGAGGTCGCCTAAGACCAGCCAGTAGTTTCGACGCTTTCTAAATAAAGTTATTTGTTGATCAATAGCTTCAGGATATTCTTCGAAGCTGTCGCTAAGGTGAGTGGGTTGCCTCTGTAGGACTAAAAAACAATGTTTAGCGCATTCAGTATTATCACAGTGTTCATCAAAATGGTTTAACTGATTTCTTGAAGAGACAGCATCATGTTATTTCAATTATCTGTGGGTTTTGTCCTTACTGCGAGAGATTTTTCTCCGGGATTTGCAGTTTTCTCTCCTCATTACCTAACACTTCCAAAGTTCCCGTTCTATCGTGTACGAACTCTCGTGATTTCTGTGGGGTTAACAAGGTACATTTTAAATATCTTTGGGTCGATCTATTTGTTTGTCGTGATGTAGTGATTGGCTACAGAGAATTTTTCTTGTCAGTGGTTACAAAACAAACACTTCCCAATTCCAGTTCTTCCTGGAACGCAGGAACTCTCGCTAAGTGAGGTCTTTAGGGCTTTGGCTATTTTTGGAGGAGTAAACAATGTACATTTTTATTGTTTGTACGTCTGTCTATTTGATTACCGTGATTCGTGATTGCCTGAAGAAGGGATGGTTAGAACACGGTGGGAGAAATTCTCTTTTTTCCCTTTTTTTAAATGAATTAATCTATTTTTCTCCAGGGAACAGCAATCTTACTGGGACCAAAGTTCGCAGGCATTGTCAAGTTGCGGGTTAAATTACATTTTTCTTATCTTTCGTTTCAGACGTTTGGATGCAGAATTTACGCGTTATGAAAAAGAGGAGGCTGAGGGAGGTATGGATTTCATTTCTTCTTGTTTACTTCAGCCACGTATCCTATTATCTGCAGTGTCTTGTACACCCATTGTTTATGTACGTAAGAAAGTTCGGATCTATTTAGGTTTCTAGGCAACTTCCCAACAACCCCTCCCCTAAGCCAACATTTCCTATTTATATTCACGACTAAGAGACGGGAATGGGTGTGCAGCTCGAACTAAGGAGCCTGAGTGTTTAATGCCGTCCAAATATCATACAAAGTTCAACATCATAACTAAAGAATGGTATACAAATATGCCTAAATAAAGTCACTCAGGCTAAACTATTCACGTGCGCCGCCTGATACGAAAACCCAAAAACCCAATGGGAAAAAATTGGGAACGTATTCCCCAACCGATGCGGTCGCACAACCTCTGGGGGTTAAAGGTAAAAAATCGATCGATAGATGAATAAAGTAAGATATAAAAATAAAAGTTGATAGTTCGAGAGCTGAGATGAATACATTACAACTGTCAAAACCTTATATACCTAATAACAATAGAGTCAATTAACGCCATAACGGCTCACGTGCGATCATACCAATAGGAAAGTATTTACATTCTCTGTCACTGCCACTACGTTTAGCTCCGCCGAATGTAAATACATTTCCTATTTATATTCACGACTAAGAGACGGGAATGGGTGTGCAGCTCGAACTAAGGAGCGGCTGAGAAAAACAAAGAACGGGAAACAATTACAGTCCAAGAGACATAGAGACCGCTAATCGGCTCTCTAGCGAATCTGCAACGTAGCCATCCTTAGCGTTTTCCGAACGCCATCTACCGTGGCGCTTAAACATTCTATCAGAGATACCACCATTAGCGGCGGCAGATGCACCGCCACTTCTGAAGCTGTGCCAAGAGAAAGACTTAGGATCTAAGCCTACGTCTGCAATCTTCTTCAGTAAAACTTCTCTACATCTTGTATAAGACAGTTTGGAGCCTGGGCGGATGGACTGAGAGCCAGACTTGGTTTGAATATTTCCGAACAAATAGTCGTCTCCACCTTGGGAAGATGTCGGTAACGTGAGTTTGGCTTGCGATAAATACTTCTCTAAATTACCCCAGGGGCAAAGATCCGTGCCAGACTTGACAATGGGGACAATAGTGCCCTCGCGATATTGATCAGTTTTACTGCTTTCTATAAAAAGTTCAAAATGAGTGTCATGCAGCGCTAAATCCTTAAGCTTCAGATTAGACAATTCATCAAATCTTAAGAACCCCGCAAAGGCCAATAACGCCATGGCCATGAATCTTGTGTCCACCAAAGATCCATCGAGACTCTGAAACAACTTTTGTAAAATATCGGGTGTAATGGGGAGCTTTTTTGAAGTAAGGTGTAGTAGCCTTCTCTTAGCGGACTCCACGACCTTCAGGGGAAGTGTATGATTGGTAGGAGACTCGAAACCAGCAATATCATGAGCCCAGCGAATGCTATAGAAAGCGTTCTGGACCGGTGCAGGAGAACTAGAAGCCTGGAGAACACTGAGCAGGTATAAAGAAACATAAACCGGAGTAGCAGGCAGCACTGCGACCTCGGGAAATCTGTTGGCCCAAGCACGCCATCGCTTAAAACCGTTGAGGTAGGTGAGAGTAGTGGAATCTGCCCTGGAACCAAGGACTATCTCCGGTAGCTTTTCTGCTAAGCAGCGTAGGGAGGGAGCTTTGACATCGTTAAGCTCAGCCCACATAGGGCTAGCGAAAACATCTGAAAATACAGAAGAAATAGAAGACCATATGGATTCAATGTAAGGACTTAAAAAAGGAAAGATGCACGAGAAAAAAAGGAGCGGTAAAAGGAAACGCACGTAATAATTATGTAGATATAACTATCACACAGGTACATAGGATAACAAGAGAGCGACCACCGAGGCGCACTCGACCATATATATGGGGGAGCTGGAAGGATAAAAAACTGACCGAGGTCACACAAAAATGTAACGGTACGACCCGTCGGGATCAGTGAAGGTACAAACAAAGGTCACCGAGACCCGCATAAATGCCACCGAGGCAAAAGAAAAAACAGAACAAATCACTCAAAATAATAAACCACACTTTAATATAGGCTAAACAAGGTAACTACACGTAACTGCGGAAAGGAAACTAAGCCTAGAAGAACAAAACTAACAAGCCGACAAACGGACGGCTAATACATGAGACTTAAATTTAGGGCCATCAAAAATAGACTCTGTCGAGCCCGGAACAAAAATATAAGAAACATTGGTAAAAACAATGGTCTCTTTAACGCAAACGGAAAAGGGGGAATGGGGACCAAAGAGCATGGGCCAAAATGGAGCTGAGACCCATTTGGGGACAATAAGAGTGCCCATAGACCTACATACAAACAAATGCCTAATAACCCGGGGAACAAGGGACACTGGGGGAACAAGCCAGTTATTCTCCCCCGCCCAGTCAAAACAAAAGGCATCCACCCCCTCCGAGTCAGGATTCCAGAAACGGGAAAAGAATCTGGGTAATTTGCGATTATGGGAATGGGCAAAACGATCTACGGAATGTGGACCCCAAATGTTGTCTACATGGTGGAAAAATTCAAACGAAACACCCCAGTCATCAAAATCAACGATCCTACTTATGGCATCAGCGTGCTCATTGAGAGACCTAGGAATCCAGTCCACCTGCAAATCAATACCATTTCGCAAAACTAGTTGAAAAATAGAGAGGGAAATTTCGTGCAAATCCCGCTTCATACTCCCGTTGCGAATAATGGACGGAATGTTGCGGTTATCCGTGAACCATTGAACTGCGCGCCCTGACAAAACTACGGAAAAACTAGAGAGACAAATATAGACTGCCTTAAGCTCACGCCACGTGGAGCTGCCAAACATTTCATTAGCAGTCCACGGAAGATGACAAATAACACCCTGACGGTCTTTAACAACACCGCCAACCCCTAGGTCACTAGCATCTGAATAAACAATGGAACGAGAACATGAAAAGTGACGCCCAATGGGCCTCCCATTCAAACACCGAACGTTCTCTTTCCAGAAAAAAAGCTCTTCTTTGACAGAATCGGACAAAGGAAACCTAGAGTCCCAACTAGGCTGAAGGACGATGGACATATGAATAAATTTTGTCATCAATGTAGTAACATTACCTACAGCTAGTTTAAAGGAATTAATACGACCAGCAAGAGCGGACAGTTCCCTGGCGGTGCAACAATTAGCCTCTAAAAGGGAATCAATATCAGAAACAACCCGCTTGAGCTTTATCCCCGGAACAAAAAGCAAACCCTGAAAAAGATCAATGGTGAAACCCAACCAATCAAGGACTGATGTAGGAACCCAAACAGATTTCTCGAAGTTGGGTACAAAGCCAGAACGAACCAAATCAGTCTTAACCCTGGTGGAATGGGCTAAAGCAACCTGATATGAAGGCCCCTCCCCTAAACCATCATCAAGATAAACAACAATGTGAATACCATCCCGCCTCCAGTAGGCAACGAGAGGCCTAAAAATTTTAGTGAAAACAAAAGGGGCTGAACAGAGGCCGAAGGGCAGGACCCTAAAACAAAAATAACGGACCTTACCCTGATAAAACCAGGAAAAACCCAAAAATGTCTGGTGGGGCGGGAAGATAAGCACATGATGATAACCGCTCTTAATGTCAAATGAAAACATGAAATGACCCTTGTCAAAATAATTTAGAGCAACCTTAAGATCCTCAAACTTGACCTTTTGCTTCCAGACATGCTTATTTACAAACCTAAGATCCAAAATCAACCTCTTTTTCCCAGATGACTGAATAGAAACGGAAAGAGGGTTGACGTTATGGGGCAGCACCTCCGATTCAAAAATGCGATTGGTAACCAACAATTCGGAAATAGCTTCGTAAACAAAATCAGAATGAGCCAAAGCTGACTTATTATTACTAGAAAAACTAACAGGGGGTGTAGAGTGGAAAGGAATACGATAACCATGCTCAATAACATCTAGAATAAATTGACTGGCACCTATAGAACGCCAAAACTGAATATGAGATTTAAGCCTACCGGCTACAACGATAGTAGAACTACGACCCTGTTCATATTCAAAAAAGTCAAAATCATCCTCAACAAAGTTCCTTAACTTATCTGTGTCCTCGACGAATGCACCAACATCCCAGTCCATCACGTACGTTTCCCAGGTTGGCTAGCTGAAAACTGCGTCTGAAGGACGGGGCACTGATTCCTGAAATGGCCGAAACTGCCACAAGCAAAGCAACTGCCAACACGCGAACCACGGTGAGCCTTAGGCCAATTGACAGCACCGAACGGATTCGAAAAATTAGAACCTTCCTTTAACTCTTCCAAGGCCTTTTCAACTTGAGGCGAAGACGCCTGAAGGGCGGTCGAAGCAGAACGAACGTGTTCTAGAACTTCAGAATTAAGTAAGAACTGCTTTTCGTTGCCTTTCTTTTTAAATTTCGGAACACTAGCAGTAGCTGTCTTGAGCTTCTTCAGCGCAGCGTCGTGTTCTTGTGCAAGTTCTCTCTTTAAAGAAGATAAACCAGAACGAAACTCGTCTTTGAGCTCGGAAATGCTTCGCGCGAGATCAGCATCGGACGGCATTTTAAAAGTTGATAGTTCGAGAGCTGAGATGAATACATTACAACTGTCAAAACCTTATATACCTAATAACAATAGAGTCAATTAACGCCATAACGGCTCACGTGCGATCATACCAATAGGAAAGTATTTACATTCTCTGTCACTGCCACTACGTTTAGCTCCGCCGAATGTAAATACATTTTTCCCAAAGTGAGAAGTAAGTGTTAATGTTGGCTTAGGGGAGGGGTAGGTGGACAGTTACCCAAAAACGTAAATTGATGAAAAGCTCGCTTTATGTGGCTCTAATAAAATTTTTGATATGACATCAGGATAATTAGCAATTTGGGCCTCGGCGGACAACGCCCTCTGAGATCTGAATAGTTCATCAGGTCATACGAAAGCCGGATTCAATCATAAAGTGTTTTATTATTCATTCAAAAGAATTCAAACGAAAACATGCTTACATCGATTGACCTAAAGTTCCTGTTTTCATTTGTCTGATCCTTGGCCAATATATTCAGGATTTTGTAGTCTAGCCTATATTCTGCAAATAGCAGTTATTATCCTTCATCCTGCTGTTCTTGTTATGTTTTTAGGCCCCAGTTTGGCGATTTCTTGTTCCTAAAACGCGCGCAATCTTCCGCCATTTTTTCTTGCTCTACCAAAACAGCTGAGCTAACGCAACCTCGTCTCCAGGGCTTTTTGATTGCTGTGCCTTTTTCTGCAGTTATCCTGCACCATTGACGTCATCTTATAGGATATCGCAAACGTCTTCAAAATTTGGTCAACGCTAGCTGGTTTTGAAGGGAGATTTAAACCAATCAAAAACGGCGAAATATTTGGAATGAATAATAAAAAATTTTATTTGCCGCTTAAAAAGTGTGAAAATTTTTTCAGGTGCGTCCCAGTTACATACAAATTGTCAAATATTTACGGTAGTCGACAGTTACTTTTCAGGCTCCATCTACTCATAGCTTGTAGTGCCCTCGTGTTGTTGTTATGTATGCGTCTAGGGAAGGTGAGATGCGTTCTGGTGCAAGATATTACAGATTATATACTGCAGTGAAATAAGTACTTGAAGCAATATGCTCTTGAGCTCCCCGCAAGAAATTCCCTTGAATAAGTACGGTCTTTGAAACTAAATAAGTGTTTTCCTATTACTTTTTCCTTCAATTTTAGGAGTGCGGTCACATTCTGCGTTTGTTCCGATGAAACGAGCTGCAATAACCTTAAGCACAAGGTTTGTTCATTTACTGAACTGCGTCATTTATCTTACGTGAATTTAGGGCGGATTTTTTTTTTTTGAGTTGTTATTTTATCTCTGTAAGATTTTGTAGGTTTGACTGTGTGTAACATACGAGACGCGTAAGATTAATAAGTTATGCCTTGTTTAGAATCAAAGCAAAAACTGCGCAGTAAACCTGCTTTGCTTAGTTGTTGTTACTGTTGATAAATGTTTTTCTTCTTTAAATATTATTTTGTTTGTTCACACTTTGTACTAATCGTGTTATGTTTTCTACCTAGCACACAAGAATTTAATCCTCGCTCGTCGACCACTGACGAACTTCTCCGAGATTACTCGTCACCAGCGGACAAACTTCCCTCGTTCCCTCCTAACACGTGCACAACGATAGAAAGGCTTGGCGCCTGGAGGTTAGTACAGATCACGTGCACCTCACGTCTTTGAGACAGCGGTAGTGCCAAGGTCTTAAATGTATACTCCAAGACACTATATTTCCGACAAAGGACTGGATCCTTGTATTTTTGACTCTGAAATATTTTGGACTCTCCTTATTTTCTTTTTACTCTGCAGTTCTAGATGAGAACCTGTTTTTAGGTTCTTCTCAAAACCACGTGACAGCGCGTCTTGAAAGTTTAATAAGTGGACCTTATTTCATGACCGTAGCACGTGATAGCCTCGATGGACAAGCGTTTCGTCCTAGACTCTCTTTTTAAATTGGAATTTGGAAAAATCTGTATTTATGCAGGGAGTAAACTCGAAGAATAGGACCTTGAATAGGGACTTGCTTCTTAAATGTTTTGAAAGATCCAAGTTTAAATAGTTTTGAAATAACTTGCAATAAAACTCTTGAGTTAACGAAACAAATAGGCCGCTTCTGAGTTCCAAAAACCCTCACTTTCATAATGAGGCCATGTGCACAACCTCTTGTGAAAAACCATATCAAAGGCTGAGCACTTAACCTCGTTTTGATACAGAGGCCTGAACCATACCCACATTCTTAAGATTTTAATTTCAAAGCATAGTTTACGTTAAGAAGCACACCCGGCAACGAGAACCACCAACAAACGCATCACACATGACGAGAATCTAACCCTCATCATACTCATGCACTGAGTTGAGAGGCGAACGCTGGAATACTGGCCTAACCACTGAATGAATAACCTGTTCCAGGCGCTTAGATAGTAGAGCGCGGTCGAAAAATTGACGAGGAAAAAAAAACGGGAGAGACTCCCCTCTCTCCTCTCGTTTTTTTCCCCTCGTTTCCTCGGCATACGATTTAACTCGCTCCCCACCATCAGTAAACCGCGCTCTGCTCTATATGAATGCCTGGAACAGGCTACCGAATGAATGCATGTGTCATCTCCGTTGTTGTGTTTCGTTTTATATGAAATACTCCTTTTCTCTCTCTCTTTCACAGCTCTACAGAGAACGCTCCGCCTTTAAATCAACGCCGTACTCTTCAACTTAGCAAACCTAGTTCGGGAGGCTTCGGTTTGACTTTGCAGGTAGGTGAGAAAAGACATTAAATTTCACGTTTTGAAAAAACGGCAGAGATGGCAACGTGACCATATTTCCGGTTTTATTTTTCGTCGTTTGCCCGTTTTCACTTGGCGAAAAGGAATGTTTTTTTACTGAATGATTAGCAACTGGAGAAAGAACTATACATTACCAGTACGTATGGCTATTTCTGCTGTCTGCCGTAAATTTAACGTGGTTTGTCTGTGAAGTTACTCTAGGCTCATGTTGATCCCAATACAAGTAGTAGTCCTTGTAGTAAGATTTTTTTTTTACATCTTTGGGTTTAATCCTTGACCTAGCCTGTAGGGAGTGTCTTATATACGTGAACATTGCGCAATTTATTTAAGAAAGAGTAGGAATCAACTTTCACTGACTTATATTTGAACGCTCGTCTATTTAATTTACAGACGTACGGAATCGTTCAGCAAGGTGGCGACGTGGAATACATGACATTTGTTCTAAGCGTAGAGGAAGATGGACCAGCTTATATGGCAGGGTTAAGACCAGGTGAGACATTTTCCTCCTTGCTGTTGGTGTAAGAAGCTTGTTAACGCACATTTCTACTTAAATCTGCACTATAGTCTCACTGGACTAGTCCGATATCTTTCAAATATCTGACCGGTTAATAGCGAATACTGAGGCATCACCCGGAAGAACGTCGTTTGAAAAAAATTGTTATTGCTCTTTTTATTTACGTTGAAATTGCTACAGTTTTTCTCATGTATATGGAAGCCACTGAACTGTCCAGGTTTCGAAAAAGTTGGGAATGGTTACAATACTGATTATGTTGTCTTCACGCTCTGTACGCAGTCTTGATTTTCGCCGGATTTAACCATGATTGCGGCTTTGACGAAAACGGCAAAGATTCGTACCAAAAAGAGAGGCTTAGCTTCTCGATGATATGATTGTTAAAGTTTAATATTGGTTTAATCTTAAATATCTCTTGTGTTTTCCCAGGAGACATAATTTTGGAAGTGGATGGTACAAATGTGGAAGAGGAGGATCACAAAACGATAGTAACGCATATTCACCGACCTTCTGAGTCCGTCAGGTTTGTAACAAAGCTCAAATGCTGCATTCGGTACTTACTAGCCGTAAAATCACCTTGGTCAAGGTAGAACATAATGTACAATAGGCCATCACATCCCATTACAGCAGAGATTAAGCTAAGCCTAAAAGCGGAGCTACCGTTAAATACTATGTATTTATATAAAAACAATGATCCTTAAACGTTGCCAACCAAAAAATACTTCAAAGACATTTGTGACTTCGTTAGGTGGTGAACGTGTGTCCGCGATACTCAAATATGATGCAGGTGAATGAGTCTTCCATTTTCACAGCTGTCAAATAACTTTGGTACGGAGGGCCTGCTCACTTCATGCAGTAACGACAAAGTATTCTCGCTTTATCGGTATGTCTGGGTATGCGGGGAATTTTACTTACATCTATGGGGCAGATGATTGTCGACCACAGTATGTACGGTCACGTGACAACCAAATTTTTGGATAGATTCAATCCTAGCGGGCATCTTGCTCGGAATTTCTGCGTTGGTCCTGCAAGAAAAAGTTATCATGCGCATTGTAGCGATATATTAAATTCCTTAATAACCAAGCTTGTTCGGAATTAATGTTTCGAAGCAAATTTTTGTGAATGTAGATTTTAGGTGCATGGAATTGTACATTGTCTCTCTCTTTGTACAGGCTGGTTGTAGTGTTTGTTGATGCTCTTCGACGAATGAAGATGAATACGAAGCTAAAACTTCTCCAGGTTGGTTGATTTCTTTGCGCTCAAATGAGAACGGGTAGAGTCCCAAATTAAGTAAAATCTGAAGGCACTTGAACAAAGGTAACAATACCATTAAGAGTGCTGCAATGCTTTAACAATTTCAACCAACGTGTTGGACGTGTGGACAAACGCTGTCTTAATGGTACCTACGTGAAGCCTCATTGTACCAACCCAAATACGTGTTATAGTAATAAACTCTATTTATCGATCTTTCTCTCCTCTGTGATATCAGGACGCCGAATTTTATAGTGGGCAGTTTCTGGGAAACTGTCCACCTACCGCTCTCCCTAAGCCAACATTTCGCCCTAGGTGAAAATTATATTGTTAGTGTTGGCTTAGGGGAGGGGTAGGTGGGTAGTTTCCCCAGCAACGTATAATGATCCGACAGGTTTTGATATTGAGGCTTCTCATTTTGTTTGTGTGATATTTTCCTACTAGGCTGAGCTAGCGGTCAAAGAACGAGAGCTTGAAGATCTTTCCAATAACGAAAAGGACTTACTGGAAGGTTCGTAAACTCTCAAGGTCACAAAACGAATTCAATACAGTGAATACTGTCAGTAGCATCGGATCAGTGTAAGATTCTGGGAAACTCGCCATCTACCCCTCCCTTTAATCAATATTTTGTCCTGAGTGAGAAGTTGACGTTAATGTTGGATTAGGGGGTGAACCGTCTCCCACAATCTTATACTGATAGCTTCAATAGTGGCAGAACGCGTACAACTCGTGTCAGTGATTTAGCTGTTTAGCAGTCTCCTCTTCGCGTATTTTCTTCCAAATGAGAGGGAAGGGCTGGGGTAAGAAAGAGATTGACACAGAACAATACCTTCACAAAAAAAAAACAAACAAACAAAAGCGAACCAACAATGGTTTCTGCAATACCAAGAAACACCCTTAATCGTTCGGCAAAAAGTATAGAAGGAAAACTGTTTGGCATTCGATACAGTTGCAAGTTAAAATTGATTCGTTGTGAGCAACGGAAAGTTGTCTTTATTATTATAGGTTTTTCTTTATTTTTGATAGGTAGAGGATGTACTTTAAATTTATCATTACTTCAAGAAACACGGACGCGCGAAAGAACTGGTTCTTATTTGTACACTACTGAATTAACAAGCTGTTTTGATAAGAAGTCCCCGGATGTTCGTGACAGCCTGTTAAAATACCGGCAGCCCGTTCAAGACACCAGGCCGCGTCCATGCTCTATGCCTGTGCAATCAGATTTTAGAAAACAACCCATCACAGCCACAACCGGATCTGAGATTTTGAAGAACTTTTCTTCTCCAGACCTGAGCGCCAATCGCCGCAAACCTACGGTTAGTAATAAGCTGATCAAAAGTTTCCGCAAGAAAAAGCCATCTATGGAGAGTTTTAAATCGTATGTTGATTTGGATCTTAATTCAGATGACTCTGGAAAAGATAACTTGTCTGCAGCCGTCTCTGAGCCCGCGTTAAGCGTAACTAAACCTTCATCAGCGGCAAACACCATGGTCGAATCCAGGACTTTTAACCAGGAACCCCTTGGGACAAACGGTTGGAGTCATTGTAACGGAAAATCAAATTCACTTCCGCCTGGTAGTGTGAACATTTCTCTCACTCTTCAGGTCCCATCGGACGATTCCGGTGCTTCAAATCAGGGTCGACTCTCTCCGGAAATTCCCAGAATGCGACGAGGACAAAAAAAGTCGCCGGCGAAAACGTTGCCTATGACTTCTCCCAATCCGAAGGATCCACCAAAAGAGTTCGTTTGACTCCAGTGCTCTTCCAAGACCAGACTTACAAAGGGGTCGCCTGTCACCTCGGCCAGAGTCCTATTTATTAACTATGGATGAGGCTGGACAGAGACCCCTTTCACCAAAGGAGAGAAAGCAAACAACAGGGAATGGAATAGCCTGATGAGAGTTAGACAGACTCGTGGAGTCCTTCTTAATTTACCTGCGATCAGGTGTTAATTTTTGTCCTATTTTGTCACGGAATGTTCTTAACGTTGCTTCTAAGAAACGGGAAGCGTAATACGAAAACAACGGACTCATGAGTCCTTATCAATATTGGCAAGTTGCCTGTGAATAAGCTTTATTCTCCTTTTGCATTTTCCTGTTTTAAACTAGTTTTAAAGTCGAGAAGGTCTAGGGTAACCAGTGGTATCTAGGCCACTAAGCAGTTAAGTGAGGTCGCTCTTTACCCTTCTTACTTCGAAGTGACGCGAGCACACTTAACTGACACGAGACTCCAGAATATTTGTATTGGATGAGGTCAAAACTTAATTATACTTGAGACAGGACCCGCTAATCCGCAGTAAGAATTGGTATTCATTAGGCAGTGGGTCCTTCCTAAGTAAACTTTTTAGGGCCTCTTGCTCTCATGTTAACTTAGTATCATGCGAAAGTACGTCACAAAACTTAGCACCTCCTTAATATCGAGGCCATAATTTTTTTTCCTGAAAGATAGAAAAGTAATGGGGGATAGATAATAAAGGGGTGGCGACAGTTCATCTCAAGGACGAAGGTCGTCTGGGGTAAAAAGAGATCAGGGGGTTGGGGTTAAATTTAGGGGTAAGATTTAGGGATAGGATTTGGTGGTGTGCACCTCTTTGCCCCCTTCCCCGTGCTCCTCTGGATATCCCCGACAAAATTGTTTTTACTTCCTTGGAAACAACAAGTTTCACTGCAACTTTGATAGGTGATTGTAATAATAATAATAATAATAATAATAATAATATTTATAGAGGGAGCCCAACTCGCCAAGGCGGTTTTCAGTGGGGCCCTCATGCATTAATCTAACTAATTAATTAATAATTAAGAAAAAAGTAGAATATGTTTACAAGTAAAACAAATTTAAAAATTTAAAATCTTAAAATCGATTATACAAAAAAACATCAAGGTTTAAAATTAGCTGAGATCTTTTAAAAAAGTTTTTAACTTGGATTTAAAAATAGATAAAATATTACACTCTTTTAAATCATTTGGAAGGCTGTTCCAGTCTTTCGCGGCGTGAAAAATAAAAGTTTGTTTACCCCAGTTTGTTCTGGGTAGGGGTAAGCGAATATCATTAGAGCGTCTTGTATTATATGAATGAACAGCTTGACTTTTAGTAAAATTAAAGCTGAAATCGGTTTCTCCAATAAGACACTTGTGGATTGCAATGCAGCGGTGAAAAAACCTTCTTGTGGACAGTGACTTCAAATCTAGACTTTTCAGTGCTTCAGTTGACGAGCTTCGGGGTGGTTGCCCCAGCATAACTTTAGCAGCTTTTTATTCTGTAGAATCTGTAATTCTGACATGATGGTGTCATTGTTTTTGTCCCCCATATAACGTCTCCGTAATCAAAAAGAGGGAGGATTAGGGCATTGTACAAGGCAACTCTAGCTTGTAGCGGCAATAGATTCCTGATTCTCCTAATTAGGCCTATTCTCTGATTAATCTTCATGCTGATAGCATCGACGTGATCTGCCCAGGACATAGACTGTTGAAGCGTTACGCCTAGGTATTTGAATGATTGTGTTCTTTCAATGCTAGTGCCCTCTACTTTAACCGAAATGCCTTGAATACGATTCAGTTTCTGAGGACTTCCAAAGATAACAAAATTACATTTGGATATATTTAGTGTCAGGAGATTTCTAGAGAACCACTCAGACACTGTCCCCAAGTCAGCATTGATGTGATGTTCAAGATCACTGATGCTTTTGGATGAGTAATAGAGTACAGTATCGTCTGCATAAAGAATAATATCGCTTGCCAGGTGACAGTCCGGAAGATCATTCACGTAAATTAAAAACAATAAAGGTCCCAATATACTTCCTTGGGGTACTCCAATAGGCATTTCGGTAGATGCAGAGTGAGCATCTCCAACTGATGTAATTTGAGATCTGTTTGTGAGGTACGATCTAAACCACTGGGTGGTAGAGGTGGTAAGACCGATGTGCGTCAATTTTTGCAGCAGCAGGGGATGATAAATAATGATAATGATAATTGATAATAATGATAATTGATAATAATGATAATTGTTGACCAAAAGTTCTGAATAAATGCATGTACTGTAGCGATTACATATAATAGGTATAATTACGTCTATATTTGAGACTGGTCTTTAAAGTAACTTATTTAGAAAGAAATTTTATCTCTTGTCGTTAGAGAAGAAAAAAGATCGGTGATTTTTTTACACACGGGGACTTGAAACTTGTGCCTCGAAACAAGGGCTCTGATTATTCTCTATTTAAAATAGTACTCGCCCGTTTTCAGTCTTCTCCTAGTCGCTTCATGTTCTTCTCGCCCGTTCCGACAAACTGAGGACCTGAAACTGGCTGCCGCTACTCAAGCGCAAGTCAGTGGTATGGAAATATTTATTTTTTACTGTTTGAAACAACGACTCCAGCTTTTTTGAGCGATTAACATCTCACCCCCACCGACAGTTGATCGGGCTCACAAACACTGCTTCCAAAACCTTTATTCAAAGGAATAACTGCCTTCCCTGCCTCATCCCTCTTCCCCTGGGGAGGGAAGAACGGAGATCCGGCCTGGGGATGAGGCTGTTACCTTCCTTCAGGGGACTTTACTTGACGGAGAGTGGAGAGTCTTTAAATGGAGGCCTAAGTATTCAAAACCCGAAAACGATGTTTTAGGGCGGGCTTTTCAAGTCCCTAACAGTAAAAACAACTGAAAATCACCACACTGGTACCGAAGGTCTCGCTTCCAGAGATCGTTTTCATGTGACGTCACGGCGGCCATGTTGATGTCCAAAAAAAAAGGCTCTATGGGGTTGCATAGCTCCTGACCTCATAGTGAAAAATATTCTGTTTGCAACCACGTGACAAAGCGGCCATGTTGGTGGTCAATACAGTAGAATTTTTTCTCGAAGAATTTACATGAAAATGGCGTTTAGTTCCCAAAGGAGAAAGATGCTGTTGTTCTTGTCCACCAACATGGCCGCCGTGACGTCACGTGCAAACCAGCAATGCATAATTTAATAGAATGTCAGAATAAACCATTCCAACAAAGAGTTTGAGTTCAAATGTTTTCGTATCTATTGGGTTTTAGTTGTCCTTTGACACGGGTCAGAACTGACAGGCTACGGTGATGTAGATGGTCTATTAATCAAGTCATTTCTCAGCTTAAACTGAACAACAAACAGTCATGCCAAATCTGGAGCGTGCGTAGTCAACTTCGTAGCCCCGAGTCCCCAAGTTGGTGTATTAGAGGACCAACAGGTATAGAGCCCTTTACGGTTGCGAGGGCATGCTGGGTAATCAGGACAAGAAGGTGCAAAAATCAACGTTTGTATGAGAATACAAAGTCATGTTATTCTTGCTAATTGAATATATTTCCCTTTGAAAAATGTAACTAATGAGCTTAAAGAAACGGCACACTAAATCTGGAGTGCAATCTGCGCAGTCCTATGTTGTTTTTTAGAAAACCTGAGTTCCTCCGTACATTTTCTGTAATCCGACAACACAAAAATCACAGAAAATGTATGGAAGACGTCAAATTTTCTAAAAAGCGACCAAGGACTGCCTGCAAGAAGCGCTTTTCGCTCCTCCCCTTGTGGCGGTGACCACATCATCAAGCTTAAGCCTCGCTGCATATCTTTAACAAGGCCGTCGCGAAATCCCTTCATAACTTAGTTTACCGTTATACGACAAGGATAAGTTACAAAGTTGCGCGGGAAACTGGCTCAAAATACGTTCCCCAAAACATGTGCAGTCCCATTCCACCGCGGTCAAACCAGAGAAATTTGCAAATGCTAAGCAAACAGGTTGCTACTTTCACTGTTGGAAGCTTAGGATTTTACCAATATGCTGTATTTACTAAACAATTTGCAGGTTTACTAAAAAAATCCCTAAGTAGCAGAAAACTGAAACAGGTATTGTCGTTGGCGCCATTTACCGGCATAATCATTATAGTTGGGTGCGAAGCGTTTTCAACGCAAAGGCTTAATGTTTTGAGAAATGGAAAGATAGTCATACCAGTAAACGAAGGAAAATAAAGCCAGCAGAAAATTTCGTGTTTTATAAAAGGTTCAATAATTACAATTTTATGGATTTAAGGAAATATAAATACAACTTTTGCCCATTAAAATAGAAGTAATAGACCTTTTGAGCTTGTATGTTTTGTTTTCCCAATTTAGACCACGTGATATTCTCCAGGGAATTTGCTTAGGTCTATTACAAATTATGCATACGTTTGCACCTGCCTAGGACGACATTTTAAAGAAACAGTTCTCTGTGGTATCATCACGTGCTCTGAAATGGGAAAACAAAACATACAAGCTAAAAACTATTATTCGGCTCTGTCGTTTTACTCCAGCTAATTTTGATTTTATAATTATGAAAATTATCGTTACTAACAAGAAGCTCCTTAAGTTTGCAAACACCGCGATCAACGGACCTCCTTCACGAACAAGGTTGCAGTAAGTCGACACAAAGTCAAAGGAGCTTTAAAATCTATGATCCAACACTCCTTCCGCACTAACACTTGTCGCTAATAACTCCATACCATCGGTGTTATCCGAAGGAACATTGACTTCCGACGAGCAAGGTCGGGGTAAGTCGGACGAACTTTCGCTCGTCCCTGGAATAGGCTCAAGTTCCATGTGATCTTTTGTTGACAAAAACCCTGGACGCTTGAAGTAACCGAGGCTGTGAGATTTCTTGTGCGATTTTCTCGCTTCATTCGCAGCCTGGTCAGAAGAAGAACTCCATTTTCTTGTTTCAACTTCAATTTCGACCTCCTCCGTGTCCACGATCGGGTATTCCATGGAAACGTAACTAGATCTTTTCAATCCACTAGTTGACAACGCCAGGATTTTTCCGGTGTTAGCTACAAAAAAGAGAGAACAAAATAGGCTACTCCGTGTACACTAACAAGGGAGGAGAATCTCGCTTTGGATCTGCGCAGCATCGCAACTATCCTTTCACCATCAACTAATATTGTCCAAACTCTAACTTCTCCCCGTAAAAGCAGTACGAGGGTAACGAAGGTAACGGCAAAGACTCTTTCACACTACATGAAAACAGTGTGGAGGTCATTCCCGTTGTTACCACAACTTAACCTTTAAAAACCACTACCATTAACATATACAGTCTCCACTTTTTTCTCCATTTATACCCGTGTTACTAATGAGGAGAATTTGCTAACCTACCAAGGCCTCTTTTACTAGTACTTCAAGATCATTTCCTTTATGTTTTATTACGGAAAATTTCAACGCGCAGCGAACGCGTTCACCGCGCTGCGCTCTCCACAGTTTCCACACGCACCCGAATCGCCCCATTTTACCAAGGGACACGAGACCGTCGAAACAGCCTGTCTCAGATATAGTGGCCTGTATAACAGGCGTTGTCTTTTCGTCCTTTTCAAGCGACCGAAGAAAAGCGTGAAGCAAAAATCGCCTAAAAAACGTGAAAAAAAATAACGCTTGTTAGGCAGGCTACTCCATCAAGCTTAGTTGGCAGACGCAGACAGAAAGCAGCGAAGAGAAGGAAAAAAACCGGCGGAAGGTAAAGCAGGGGATCTTCTAACCTGCGTGAAAGGCGTTAAAAGGGGAAGAGTAAGGGGGTAGTCGGGCGCGCAGGGGGGGGTCTCTGGGGGAAACTCTAGCCTGAGTATCGGGCATTCCTTAGTGACCAGGGGAGAGGAGATTTTAGAGGTAGGAGGACGAAACAGAGAAAGGAGAAAGGTTTCTCTCCCTTCGCTATCTCCCGTTATCGCTTTTCTCTTCTCCTCCCCCCTCCTCCCCCCACCCCCACCCAGAAACGCCTGATTTTCAGGCTAGAGGGCATCTTAATGAACTCTTATGTCTTTTCCTTTGTCTTGTTAAGTACTCCCTACTTGTTCCCTCTACTCTGGTTACCAATAGGCCTGAGCAGCTTATCGGAATCCTTATCAATTCTGGCCGGAAGCCACGGCTTATTCGGGTAAAACCCTTATGTACAAAAACGGTAGGATTGTTTTTACTCGACACACTGGTAGTTATTAAGTTATTTTATTTTATTTAGTACCACATAAAATAAAAAAGGCAATCAATTATAAATTACATATACGATATCAGATTACACTTTTTACACGAAATTTACAAACAGGCTAATCTCACACGAAATCTAACAGAAAGATAGATAACACTATCAGTTTATGCAGTCACATTTTAAATTATTTTGGTTTAATATAACAATTTTAATACTTGTTATTTTAAGCGGTTGATAGATTTCTTTGTACACAAAACAAAAGCATTACGTACTTTAATACTTGATACTGTAAGGATTAGATCTGTATTTTTTGAATGATATTACTGCATATAGACTATATGACTATGTTAAATTATTTATTTTAGTATCTCAATTTCGCTGGAGTTTACTAATATCACTGGACATTTTCATTACTACGTTGGGATTAATAAATGTGTGACAGCGTCGCAAACATTGATCGCATTATTCTCTCGCCTGATGTGCTACCAGGTATTAAATTATTCTTCGAGCCCGAATGGGATCTGAGTCAATAGCCCATGAGGGCGAAGGCCGAATGGGCTATTGACGCAGAGGCCATGAGGGCGAGAGGAATAATTGTTTTAGTAAAATCCAACAGTTGGTCAAAAATATCGAGAATACTAGTGGGCTATAACATAAAGCCTAGTAGTAGCTCAACCAATAAGTACGCAGCATTGATAATAGACCACTAGCTGGATTTTACTAAATACCGATACAACAATGTGCCACGGGACTAGCAAATTGTGTTCGCGATAAAGAGGTTTCGTTATATCGTGGTTCTTTTTCATATATTTTGCTATTACTGAGGTAAAGAAAATCGTTCTTTATACCGAGGACTTCGTTATATAGAGGTTCGTTACATCGAGGATTCAATGTATTTGTTCGCATCCCAATGAGCAAGACACTGGGCATCCCTCTCCAGTTAATAGTGAGTTTACGCAACAGGACCGCAGGAAGAAGAGGACGGCAAATCGCTTGTGTGTGACAAACGTGACAAGGCTATAACTTGCGTGTTTTGTCGTGATCTTGACTAACATCAATGTTTTCGGGTCTTTTACAAAAAGATCTGTTTAAAAGAAAGTGAAGTTTGGCGAAAAGTTATTTCAAGCAAAATTATTGTCACGTTTGTCACACAAGGTTTGCCGTCTTCTTTCCTCTCCCGTCCTGTTACGTAAGTTCACTAATGCCGGTCAACTTGGCCCCAGTTGTTCAAAGGGTGGTTAGTATTTACACAGAATAAGGCTGTACCCAGTGAATAATGCAATTGGTTTCTCTTAACGATTATCCACTGGACAGCACTCTCCACCAGGCATCAGTTGCACCAGCCGGCGAAAACAGCCGTCTATGCTCACTCCTCGCCGCTTGGGACATTTCGCCAGGAGAGACGTCTGCGCAAAAGCGAAAGAAATCCATTCTGATGACGTTAATTCTTTCCGGAATCTGGTCGGGAGCTCTGATTGGTCGACGTGTCTACCACAAAACAGTCACTATTCGTAGAACGTATTCTTCTTTTGAAGCAGCATTTGAGTTTTGCTGGAGCTTGTTCGAGGAACACAAACCTTTTTTTTAAGCCTTTGCGGCCGGCCTTTGAAAGGGACAGGGTGAAGAAATACATCTAAGCCTGCCGAGTTTTTTTTCTCATTCTTTCTTCGTTGTTTCAATAATTATTGAAACTCAATGCAGACAAGACAGAAAGAAATTCCTGTCTTGCATTTGGTTTGTGATCACGGGTGACTAAGAAGGAACGAACATGAGAGGTTGAAAAAATTACTGGGGCATATTGTTTGCGATCCAGCTTTAGTAAACTGCGACTGTTTGCGACACTGTTTTTACTAAGGTCCCGTCCATATAGAGAAAACTTGTTCAAGGCAAAAGGCTCACTCGAGAACGCAAGCTACCCTGGGCAAGCCACTTTTTCCTACATTTCCTTTTTCCGGGACAACTTTTCTCCATATAAACAGGGCCTGAGCTATCACAAATACAAATTAATAAGTTTCCTTCTTCTAATTTCTCAGGCAAACTTGTTTAAGGCTAATTCTGGAAAGTTAACATTGATTCTTATTCCGATTTTACGGTGGAAGTTTTTAAAGGATCACTTCACGAATCATAGTGAGCAAACTTCTCTGAGTTTATCATTATAACCACGTTGTTAGGTATTTTTTAGTTTTGTCATCAAGAGAACCAACTGTGTCAGTAAACACATCACTAGCATCATCATCATAATAATCATTATCACCGTTATCATTATCATTATCATTATCATCATCAACAACATTCTCCAAACAGGACACATAAGACTCTTCATCTGAAAAATATAAATCTGGTGCATCCAGGCTGGGGAGACCTACTGATGGCACAGCCTTACCACTATTAGCTTGGTTCTCCTGTGTATCTGATAGGTATATCTCCAGTCCCAAGGGACCATCCCTAGGGAGACCTCCTGTTTCCTCTAATGAATGTTTGATGGCACTGGTCAACTAAAAATATGAACAAAAACAAAAAAAAATTATTATGCGGAATTTGTTCTAGCGTCTTACCAGTGAAAGGTTGCTCTTTCAAACCCAAAATGGGCAAAAATTACTTAGCCTCCGAATACAGCTTTCTCCCATCGCCTGACAACATTGATCTTTTTCTGGACACTTTCCTATGTATTTGCATGACCACGTTTGTTTTCTGTGAATAGCTGTTCATTATAATGTCTTGTGTCATAGCTATTAGTCATTAAAAAGAGTAAGTTCACTATAAACAATATATATTAGACCACCAGCAAGCCCTTTGGGATTATCACATAGGCTTGAAATCGAGCAGATGAATAGGGCAAAATATAGGGACTGAACAAATGACTCGTCTAGCATTGTCCTCCTTAACGATCTTGCAGAGCATGCCCCAGTTTGATTTAAAAGGGATTTTTAGCAGTTTATGTAGTGGTATGCAAAGGCTGCATTTTCTCCCTGAAAAAGGGGCTACGGATTGGTACAGTGAGCTAGTTAGTGGCAGGCCTTCTCTGCAAGAGCTCCGAGTTTGATTACCAGGTGTGACTTTAAATCCTTGTTTACACTTCTCTCCTTCCCATGAAGCCACTTATGTCCAGGATTGCACTCGGATGAAAAATGTACAAAATAAACAATTTTTCGAGATGGCCTTGCAAAAATAGAAAATTTACGAAATTTACAAAATTAACATTCTTCATCCAGGATTGAACTCTCATGGAAAATTAACACAATTAACAAGTTTTCATGATGGGCTTGCAAAACTAGCAATTTCGCTGTTTCCTCACAGGCCCACCATCCCCTCATTCATTTTCTCATCAATTTTTGCTGATATGCTTGCAAAGTTTCGTCATTTTTGTTTTCAGAATTTTGGCAGTTTTCGTTGCTTCATCATAGGCCCTCAATCACCTCTTTTGACTTTCCTTGTTAATTTTCAGTGACAGGCTTGCAAAATTGTGTCATTTTATTATTTTTGCACCAGTCTAGTTATTTTTGTTTATTTCATGGCTGAGTTCAATACTGGACATATTTAATTGAAGCTTTAGATAGTTTTAAATACCTATAAAAGGGATCAATGATGGAAGTGAAGAGTGGTGAAAGAGACAAACACGTTTACCCTTTTAACCTTCACAAATAACTTTATCATAAGATAAAAAATAAGAATTTCTGTCAACTTTGTAAGATCTCTCAGACCTCACATTAAAAAGAACAAGACACTGCAGATGGACTCTTCCTAAGAACGCCTTCTCTTACCATGTGGGCTGGAGCCAACAGACTGTGAGCTGCACGCCAATGGAGATCTTCTAGAGCCTTTGTTGCAATAACCCTTTGACCGTTGTACCTGTATTAAACACATACACAAG